GCGGGCGGCAGTGCGAAATGTGCGCTCCAGGTACGCGCCACGGCTCTCAGCGCTGTGTGGGTCACCTCCCTCCAGCTCCAAAGAGCCCAGAGGTGGCTGATGGTATATTCCCCTTTGCACAAACGAGGAAATACGAATAGGTGATATTTCCAAGACCCCACGGCTAGCAGGTATCCGACGCCAGAGCCCAGCCTCCTGGCCTGCCTGGCCCGGAGCAAGCAGAGGCCTGGGCGAACAATGTCCCCGAGGTACGGGGATGCTCAGAGCACCCTGTGCTCCAGGAGACATGGATTCTGGAAATAAGAGCGGCTCAACCCCCGAGGGCAGCAGCGTCCTGGATGCCCTGGCTTCCTCCTGGGGCCACCACCAGGCCTGGTTTCAGGGCAGAAGGAATCCCTGGCTCATGGCTGTCAGTTTTTGTCCTCTGCCTATGGGCGGCTGTGTAGGGCAAACTCGTCTGCCCAGTGGTACCCAGGGCCTAGGCTGGGCAGAAGCTGAGGGAAGAAACCCTGCCAAGAGGGGCAACCTGCCCCTACGAGGGACAAAGAGGACATTTCAGGGGGACTGCTGGCTGGAGGTGTGGGGCCCTGGGGCCGTGGCTGACAGACAGGGAGCCTGCGAGACAGAGGCTCATGGGCCTTAAAGAGTCGGCTAGAGCTAGACAACATGCCCTGGGCTGGCCCCACGCTGCCCTGCTGTCTCATCTCTGTGCACGGGGGCTGCACCGGACAGCTGCGGGGCCTCGACCACGAGCCAGCCCTTGCCGAGTGCCAGCCAGTGCCGGGACGGGCCTGCACCCGGACCAGCCTGGTGGCCGGCCCCACGCCCCCCTGGGACTCCACCCACCACGTCCACCGTGCTGAACACGTGGCAGTAGTGGTGGCTGGTCTGCAGGTCCTTGGTGATGTAGGCGAAGGTGCAGAGGTCCTCTGGGTCCTGGGCCGCGCAGGAGATGTTCCGGATCTCGTGCTCGGCGATGACGTTCTGCCGGGGAAAGCAGAGTTCTGGGCCCACGGGGCGCGACTCCGGCACCGCCTTTTCCCGGCCCCAGACTACAGCTAACCTTGCCCAGTTCAGGCTCGGGGTCTGCACCCTTGACCACAGCAACTAAACGCGGGGAAGTGCCCGCATCCAGGGCGGGTGGGGAGGGTCCTTTGTGTGCTGAGGTGGTCACACCACTAAAGGTGGGGGGAGGGGCAGGCGGGGCCAATGGAATCCCTGTGGAGGAAGGTGACAGTGTGGTCACCAGGGTGGGGGTGGGGCTGGTGGCACAGGCCCAGGGATCGGGGGATCAGCGGGTGAGGCAGCCCCGGGCAG